CATGTGTGTGTCCCACATCACTGTCTGTATATGTCGGATGTCATGTGTGTGTCCCACATCACTGTCTGTATGTCGGATGTCATGTGTGTGTCCCACATCACTGTCTGTATGTCGGATGTCATGTGTGTGTCCCACATCACTGTCTGTATGTCGGATGTGTGTCCCACATCACTGTCTGTATGTCGGATGTCACATCCCACATCACTGTCTGTATGTCGGATGTCATGTGTGTCCCACATCACTGTCTGTATGTCGGATGTCATATGTGTGTCCCACATCACTGTCTACATCACTGTCTGTATGTCGGATGTCATGTGTCTGTCCCACATCACTGTCTGTATGTCGGATGTCATGTGTGTCCCACATCACTGTCTGTATGTCGGATGTCAAGTGTGTGTGTCCCACATCACTGTCTGTATGTCGGATGTCATGTGTGTGTCCCACATCACTGTCTGTATGTGTCGGATGTCATGTGTGTGTCCCATCACTGTCTGTATGTCGGCTGTCGGTCCCACATCACTGTCTGTATGTCGGATGTCATGTGTGTGTCCCACATCACTGTGTGTCCCACATCACTGTCTGTATGTCGGATGTCATGTGTGTGTCCCACATCACTGTCTGTATGTCGGTGTGTCCCCATGTCATGTGTGTGTCCCACATCACTGTCTGTATGTCGGATGTCAAGTGTGTCCCACATCACTGTCTGTATGTCGGATGTCATGTGTGTGTCCCACATCACTGTCTGTATGTCGGATGTCATGTGTCTGTATGTGTCATGTGTGTCCCACATCACTGTCTGTATGTCGGATGTCATGTGTGTCCATGTCATCATCACTGTCTGTATGTCGGATGTCATGTGTGTGTCCCACATCACTGTCTGTATGTCGGATGTCATGTGTGTGTCCCACATCACTGTCTGTATGTCGGATGTCATGTGTGTGTCCCACATCACTGTCTGTATGTCGGATGTCATGTGTGTGTCCCACATCACTGTGTGTATGTCGGATGTCATGTGTGTGTCCCACATCACTGTCTGTATGTCGGATGTCATGTCTGTATGTGTGTCCCACATCATCACTGTCCCACATGTATATGTCGGATGACATGTGTGTGTCCCACATCACTGTCTGTATGTCGGATGACATGTGTGTGTCCCACATCACTGTCTGTATGTCGGATGTCATGTGTGTGTCCCACATCACTGTCTGTATGTCGGATGTCATGTGTGTGTCCTACATCAGTGCATGTGTCTCTCTCTCTCTCTCTCTCTCTCTCTCTCTCTCTCGGATGTCATGTCTCTCTCTCTCTCTCTCTCTCTCTCTCTCTCTCTCTCTCTCTCTCTCTCTCTCTCTCTCTCTCTCTCTCTCTCTCTCCAGGTTAAATTTTCACTTGAATGAAACAATCTCATATCGTACAATCATCCGATCTCCGTAGCCCGGTTTTCTTGACATTTGCCACGTGACTGCATTGTTCTCACGCAGGTACGACCAACCCTTGACCCACAAGCTGTACTTCAGTCTACTATAGAGTTTCCTCAGCGAACACTTTAACCATTTGACTACCCCGCCTGTAGTGTCACATAAATGGGAAAGAAATGAGCAAAGTCATTTAATACGTTATTTCATTGTTTTGTGTCGTAAGCCCCTCGTCAACAACTCATGCTTATCAACGTTCATTTCACAGATAAGCCGTTTTGCTTGTTTTGAAGGTAGTTGTCAAAACGTAAGGTGAACAAAAGTATGATGACCAATGGCATGTGGTTATTAATATTGCATTTAGTAATTGACAAAAAGCGATCTCAGGGCTAAGGTGGTGGTATATCCAATGCTGTAACACGGGAAGACGATCGTCGTACTGCTGAGGTATAATAAACGACACGTGTGAAGAAATACGTAAAGATGAAAGCCTCAATGCTATGTTGTTGTTTAAGTGGCTTTTATGATTATAATTTTGTTTGTTTGTTGTTTAACGCCGCACTGAGCAATTTTACAGCTATATTGATCTTCAGCAACGAATGATGTGTCGCAAGATGCGACTAACGGGATCGGGTGGTCAGGCTCGATGATTTGGTTGACTCATGTCATCGTATCCCAATTGCGAATATCGATGCTCACGATGTTGATCACTGGATTGTCTGGTCCAGTTTCGTTTATTTACTGACCGCCGACATATAGCTGGAATATTGCTTAGTGCGGCGTAAAACAACAACCAAATCAAACCAAAGTATATATATATATATATATATATATATATACAAACAAGTGATTTCTGATATATAAGCTTCTATAAAGTATGAGTCAATATCTCCCTTTATATCTGCACAAGATCTTTCGCCGTAGTGTGTGTGTGTGTATACATGTATGGGGGAATGTCTGTATACATGCACTCGTGCGTATGTTATTGAGTATATGTATACGTACGTGCGCGTGTGTGTTAGACTTCATGTGTACATGCCTGTGAGAGTACATGCATGGTACATAAGTTGTTGTGTGTGTATACACGTGTGCATATATAAGTGCGTGTGTACATGTATTTGTGCGTTTGCTAGCGCGTGCGTGTATATATACATATGTGAGCGCGTATATATGTACAGACCCGTGCCAGACATATTCGGACACTTGACGTAATTTCCATAGATGTTTTTTCAGTGTAGCATAAATAATTTTCATGAAGTGAGTTTAGGATGGATCTTTGTAAAATTTGACAGGCAAATTTGAAATCATCTCTGCTCTGCGCACATAATTGAAGTTCAATTTTCCGACCACTATTTAACTAATGACATCACATTTATCAACTTACGTACGGTTCCACAATACACAATCCCATAGGCCGCCATGCTAAAGGAGTTCGCGGCACTGTACATATATATATATATATATATATGTTGATTGAATTGTTGCCTTTCGATAAATAAGCCAAGGAAAATCAAACAGAAATTATGTGATTGTAGGTAAGATGATTCCTCACAAATGTGCAAAATTTGACTTGGATCTTACGAAAATTAAATTCATGAACATTATTTACGCTACACTAAATTAATATGTTAGTCTATGGAAACTACGTCAAGTGTCCGAACACTTTCTGCACGACTCTGTACATGCATGCATGTCTTTGTAAGTGCATGTATGTATACATAGTGCTAGCAAGTGGCAAGTGGTGGTTTTAATTTTTCCTTCCCATTTGCTTCTCTGGATTTCCTGGATAGTCTCCGTAGCTTAAAGATGTCACTGTGAGTGAGTGAGTATGGTTTTACGCCGCTTTTAGCAATATCCCAGCAATATCACGGCGGGGGACACCCGAAATGGGCAAATTTCACTGTGAATTCAAGTGCGGTGGTGTCCGCATCCTTTCTCAGTACATATATAATTTTATAATTTTCTTAGTTTTGGTAAGTAAAAGAAATACCTATAAAATCATGAAACATTCGTTGGTGTTCATGCAACTGGCGACATGTCGTGAAAGTCTTGTAACGTTACGACATACATGTACATCACTTCGCATATATCACGTGTGTGTTCATACCGTCACGTGCGTCTCATATTCAGAAATGAGATGAACTTGGGGTATAATGGGAACTCGTTCGTATTCTTAAGTAAAATTACATACACAGGCCACAACCAAGTAAACCTCGTGTTTCTCCGGAACGTTTTTCAAAGTGAACTTACGTTGAAATTATCCATATATATGAGCGTTTGCCCGTATATATGGTGCGTGCAAGTGGCATTTGTTAAATGTTTTCGAAAACTGAGAATCTTCAAATGACCATCGAAGCAAAATATCTTATATATGTTTACAGAGATTTTCCAGCAAGGGATTTAATTAAACGGAAACGCATATAAATACTTAGTTATTCCCTGATCGTAAATAACAAACAAACAAGATCGCGCGGCCCAGAGAAGGTTGGCCTTGATGTATTTATGTCATGCATGAGAATGTATAGACCGTGACCCAAAACCCTTCTCTTTTAGTTTTACCAGTTATAGTGTTATAGTTTTACCAGTTATAGTGTTATAGTTTTACCAGTTATAGTGTTATAGTTTTACCAGTTATAGTGTTAGAGTTTTACCAGTTATAGTGTTATAGTTTTACCAGTTATAGTGTTATAGTTTTACCAGTTATAGTGTTATAGTTTTACCAGTTATAGTGTTATAGTTTACCAGGTTTAGTTTGGGTACCTAAACCCTGGACATCGAGAGTCAACCGTCTGTAGTTACACAACAAGGAGGGAGGGGCGGGGCAGATTTTAGCTCATTTTCCTTGTACCAGTACATGCAGTTAAACAAATGAATTTTCGGTGGCATTTTGCGTGAATGAAAACCGCCATAGACATTTAGCTTGAGATATAGAAGAAAAGGAAGGAATTTGTCTTGAAGTGACATGACGAAATGGGTATTTTGTAATTATTTAGATGATTTTTATCATATACGAGAAAAAGCCAATTTTCAAACAACGGACTCACAATAAATAGATATTTACATAATCCACCTAATGCAAGTGTTTTGGGGATGTACAATTTCGCTTTATATACTTTATAAAGATACACGAAAATTGGGCCCCGTTAGCCAAACAGTTTAAAAAGTAAGAAAAGGGTTAATATTAAAGCATATGTGTTTCGTCAAACATATTATGACCTAAACTTTTTGAATTGTTATACTTATTACCTATTTTCTATCTTACCCCTCATCGAATAGTATGTGTATTTCATTTATTAAGCTGAGACAACATAATATGCTTCATTAGTGCAAAGGCTTCAAAAATGTTTTGTTTTCGTTTTAGTTTTCCTGGATACCAGATTTATATGTTTAGCGTATTGATATTGAATCCTTTTGATTTTCTAAATATTCTCCATTCTTCATGCATACATACAACTAAAGCAACAAGATTCATTTAAGATATCTTGTGTTAATATGTTGCTCTTAAACACACGACGCGTAACATAAACACACTTTTGGTACAGAACTACATTTCTTCCCTCACCGGAAAGCGTAAGACGGCATTAATCAGTGTGTTGTTGGGCAGTAGCTCAGGTGTGTCGCGAGCTGTCAGATAAGGACTGAAAGAGGGCAACTGTATTGTGTGCATTATACTATCAGCTGACTATAGAGAAGTACGGTTCGGATTATACGTACAGTGAACTGCCGCATGAACAGCTGACTGTATATCTTGCAAGGTGGACCGATAGAACGTGGGCCGCATATGAGAATCGAAAGATGAGAATCCTGCGAAAATGTCAAGGGATGCAGTGCACGATAAATATCTGGGATGAGGAATATATTGGGAGGCTGTGACGTGACAGTGGTTACGAAAACAACCCTTTGTCTTCAAACAGAACAGTTTACAAGTTCTGTAAAATGTTGTTTGATAGGTAGTAATTAATGAAAGTTTTGTAGCAACATTGTTGGCAGGTTGTTGGCAGCTTCTTTGGCAGGCTACATTATAATTATAAAAGTACGATTTTTAAACACTTATTGATAAACAATGAATCTGATCACAATAATTTATATGGTGATGTCAAATAAGTGAGTATAAAAGTACATAGAAATTATAGAAAATGTAATGTACATTGCAAAAGGTGTTGACCCCGGAACTGCATGGAAACAATGATGGACAGAAAGTAAGGTTGGTAAAGTGAAAAACTCTTGAACAATGGGGTTCTGTGGAAGCAAGGAAGATGCAATGAGCGTCAAAAAGGGCGTTCTTCTGAACACCTGCTTTGTTGATGTTCTGAACATGATTCCGCACGCTCTTCTTGCTCTCATATGTATCTTTATCCTAACCGTATGGAACCATTCTGTAATGGGGAAGATCAAAGTGAAAACATGGGTCCACTTCCCTGGGCACAATCTTCGCTGGATTTCAACGCTCGCTCTTATAATCGTCAACATTGTACAGATTGCCGAGGGAGTGATTTCTGACTCCAATGATCCTGACACGGTGAACTACCATACATTCATCCCTCAGTGTGTTACTACAGTGGGGACCATCGTCAGCATCACTTACTACCACAATGTGGAGATGTGGAATTCCCCCAAGTTTCTGTTGGTGTTGATAGTGTATTGGCCAAGTGCAATCATTCTCAAAGTTTTGAAAGCGTTTTCACTTTACAAAAACAACCTGACATTAGACTATCTAAAACCTTGGTTGCTGTGGATGGCTATCACGGCATATCTCATCATCTTCATTGTGGAGTTGAACTTGCTGCGAGTACAGGTATGCTATTCACTAATTCAGTTTCTTTTTATTTGCAATTTTACATATTTATTTTCATTTTTCAAATTTGTGTAAGTTAATGTTTTTCTCTCTTCACTTACAATGCAAGTCAGTGTTTAATGGATCATTCTCTTAATGTTTGTCATTAAGTAGCTAACATAAACACAGCCAGAATCAGTCAGTATAATGTGTCTTGAGTAGGGCATCTTTAACCTGACAAAACCAGTGAGGGACTAGGGGGACACCAGAAATGGGCTTCACACAGTTTGCTCATGTGGAGAATCCAACCCTGGACTTTCGTGTGATGAGCACTGTCTTTAACCAGACATGTCCAGAAGATGGAGCCTTAATGTTCTTGCAGGCACTTCTTCCCCAATTGTAGAATTGTTTTGCACCATTCCTATTACCTCTCACCCTGTTGACAAGAAACAGTGGGCCATCCATCTCTCTATTTGGAGGAGGAAATATGTAAATGCTTTTCAGTTTCCAAGACTGACTGACTGAGTATGGTATTAAGCCGCTTTTAGCAATATTCCAGCAACATCACGGCGGGGGACACCAGAAATGGGCTTCACACATTGTACCCATGTCTGGAATCGAACCCGGCCTTTAGCATGACGAGCGAAAGCTTTAACCATGAGGCTACCCCACCACCCCAGTTCTTAAGAGGTCAGATGTCAATGGTCAAGACATGAGTTTAATAATGTATCATGTTATCAAGTGCTCAGCATTAGGTCTTCATATATCTTTTAATATTTCTCATCTCCAACATCAAACAGCTTGAGTCTGGGCAGTTAAACATATACATTTGAAAAAAATGTTTTTCACTAATTTTGTAACTTATTGCATGAACTTCTAAAAAGTTTGTTTTTTGTTTGTTTGTTTATGGTTTATCATCGCACTCTATATTCTAGCAACATGGCAGCAGTCTGTAAATATTTAGTATATGTATTCTGGAACTGCAGTAAGTTACTTAAGTCTGAGTTTAAAAATTGGTGCCATAAAGTATTTTCTTCCACAATTAATTAGTAGTTTGATGTTTAACTCAACCCTCCGCTATGACCCAGCTGTTTGACAGTGGTCTGTACACAATCTTGTCTGGACCATCAGAAAATCCAGTGATCAAGAGCATGAGCATCAATCTACACAGTTGGGATACAATGTCACAACTCACCATTGATGTGAAATAGTGACCTTTAGTGGTGGTCCGACTAATTGAAATAATCAATGATTGGTCGCAATGACTAAACAACCAAGCAATCGATCATGTTGTCTAATAATTGAACACAAACAATTTTGGAACACTTGTTTGCATTAACAATATATTTTACAAGGTTGGTTTTGTCTGTAACATTTCATAAGCACGACAAATTCGTTCCAAGTCATGATTGAATTTATCTTAAAGACACCTGGAAAATTTATGTCTAACATACTAGTCATCCTTTAAAGACCCAAAAGAACTACATGTTTTTTTCTACATTTGTTGTGCATTAACAAACACAGGAAGATTTTTATTTAAACTAATTCCCAACACTAGAGACATTCCGATATTAATAGTTAACTGATCAATATTTACATTAACGGCTATTGATCTGTATTTATGTAGATGGACAGCCCTAAAAGGAACTGTTTCTGAAGCAAGGGGACTCAATCTACATCCTGTGTATGAATTAATTTTGAAAGGTCACTGGCCAGGAGGGCTAGTTCAGTAAAAATGTTGCTAGCATACATCATACTTCACTAGCCCTACAAAATATCAGTATCAAAATGCACATTGGTCAGAATTGGTGTGATGTAATTGAAGATGGTAAGTTATTGTCGCCCGTTGGACACTATTGACATTTTCATTATAGCAATCTTCGTGTGACAAAAGATAATTAATTGATAAATATCACGAAACTTTTGCAGGTAGACTTTTGACTCCTTAATAATTGATTTCATCATATTTATGTGCATTAAATAATGAACAAATTATCTGAGATTTTTGGCTTGCCAGTCGGCATAGCTTTAACAATATGTTACCAGTAGAGGACGTAACGTGTACGCGAGACGGTCCCCCGTTACGCGTACAAGTGACTACCTGACAGGGGGTCACTCATTCGCGTGACTGCCTCATCACAGACAAGTAAATTCTGCAAGTTACACAAAAACGCGTCTAAATGTGTTATTTATGAAAATAATAAAACATAATTTGCTACAGTCATTGATAGGTGTTCAAGTTATTGATTGACACGAATGAAAACCTAAACGAAAAGAAAATATCACATTTTTGACAAAAATGTGCAAAATTAAGCACCATATGGAATATTGAACAGTGAATTTCACCTATGTGCATATTTTTCAGAAACTTACATTTAGTATTTTCTGGAAGCTCATTCATCGCAGATTCAAAATATATATGCAGCTTTCGAGGCACACCAACGCACACCCGCTTGTTATTGTGTTTGAAACATGTTTACTTTCTTCAAAACTGTGCGAACCGTCTCACGTAGAAGTGACTGGGGAAGCGAGTCATTAAGGGGAGGTAACTGGTGCTTGACTAAATTGTTCAGTCAAAACATCCGTCTTGTGACTTGGACTGTCAGAAGCGTACGTACTATATATGGGGATATTTTTCTTGCGTTACAACAAAGAGGATATAATAAATTCATACAAAATTACGAATAAAATCTTTTTACACGGACTATATTATTTAGGGAAGTATAATCATTGGAAAAAAGCACTAAGAGAGGGGGTCACTTATACCAGTGTAAAAACAATGCGCCTGGATAAGTTTTCAGTTTGCTGTCACATTAGTCGGTTTTTGCCGAAACATTTTGACCTATGTGTCAATTTCACAGAAACATGATCTTAATATTTTCTGAAAGCTTATTCAATGGAGATTTACCTCATGTAAGTACATTTTCATTTACACGAACGCACATAGGTGTGCCATCGCGTTGAAACATGAATTGTTAGATTACATTTACGATTACAAATACGTGAAAATTAATTGGGTGAACAGGTACGATTTCGTAGCTGTGTAATGCCGAAACCAAGACACTATATGTACAGTCTGGGTAGCCGAGACATGCTTCATGGGACCCCTCTATTATCGCGATAGGTAATGTTATCGGTATCGGGATTATGAACGCTTATTGGCATTTGGCATTTTTTATATATTTTCAGTTGACTGATGTTTTATCTTATCTGTTTTGTTTACTGGCGAAAATATGCAAATGACTTTATAGTTGTCGAAGGATTACTCGAGACGAAGTAAGTTTTAATTGATGCAAGATGCAATGGCGGTAGAGGTCATATTAGTTTCAAAATGTTCCAGAACTCACTGCAAAGTTGAATACTTTAACATTTCTAAAATTAGCCATGACACTAAAATAAATCATTTTTTCAAATGCGATGAATTGTTTTTACGTAATTTGCATATGTAAACAACTGACCAGGGCGTGGAGTTTGCCTTCCTGAGAAACCTGTTTATTCACGACTGTCAAGTAACCGCCACCCTTGGGGATTTTACGGGACGCTTTAATCACCCGCGCCGTGTTCGCACACAATCGAGTTGGTTCCACGGTGATTGAATTAATTAGGGTCAAGCGCTTCAGTTAGTACCGCGGAACGCACCCGTCTCGCGTACAAGAGACGATAGACCATCTCGCGTACATGTTACGTCTCTGACTGGTTACTGGCCCGATTCAAAGTCACCTAGCATTTGGCTAACGGGCCAGTAGCTATACTGAACAACATTAGAAACGCACCACCCATTATAATACGAAATATCTCCATCAGACTGAAATGTACCCATGATATCTGAGCATCGTTGGTGCATTTTAGTGTGGTGCGTTTCTAATGTTGTTCAGTATATTTTGAACGTTGTATACATCATCAAATAATTTAAGGACAATGGCCGCTTGATCTAAACCCCTTGTGGCAACAAAGTTGGCGAGTCTGACCATCCAGCCCCTTCAGTCATCTCTTATGACAAGACAGAAGTCCAGTCTAGCCCAGATTTTTATAACTTTTTCCATCACAAACGTTAATGTATGATATTATTGATGACACAATTTTCATGTCGATACTCATTAATATTTGTTCCTATCGATGATATTTCCGATTATCGATCATTTTAGCCAGCCCCAGTTCCTTTTGGAAGTGTATAAGGGTAGGAGCAATTATTCATCATGTCAGAGCTGGATCTCCAAAGTGGTGGTGAAAATCGAGATAAGAATTCTTTTAATTGTTTCATGTCAGAATAAAATTACAGGCAAAAGGGGCCAGGGAAAAACAGAAAAATATATGGACAGAAATACGTGGGTAAAATGTGTCTAACTGTAGCATGATATCCTAATTGAACAAACTCTGTAAAACTTGTGAAATACAAATGCAAGCACTCTCACACACGTTCCATAGCCGGTCAAAGGCAAGAATCATCAGTGATCATCGCTCTCTGACGTCTTAAGTGTATCTATCTCTCGTTGGAATGCAAAGGTCACGCAATAGATAACCCAAGTAGGAATGTCATTGTGTAGCGCATTATCAGTGTATGAATAAGTTATAAATATTGACACTGTATCGATGGAAACTGATAACCCTGTACATCAGAACTAGTTTTACTACATGGATAATACATGCCATAGTATTTTTATCCCACCGGCATGTAATGTGGGGGATATAGTCGATGCCTCGTCTGTCAGTCCGTCCGCCTGTAATCATTCTGTTTTTGGATTATAACTCAAAAACGTTCAATATCTTTCAGCAAAAATTGGGAGATAAATCAAACAGAACCTAAAGTGGTGCCTTTTGCTATTTACCAATTTTTGGCAATTATATTTTTCATGATTTCCATGGAAACGATTTGGGCTTAGTCTAAAAAAAAATCAAGTTGGACTTAAGATAACTGTCAGATGATTTGTTCTTTCAAATATGTGGGGACCGGAGGATTTGTCATCTTCTGATGACTTGGTTTACAGTCATTGAAATTATCATGGTCAATGACATGGCTATTG